AGATCTGGCTTAGCCAAGAAAATTCAGGGATGGTGAGACACAATATACTCAAGGGTTCAGTCAGTGCTCACTGGTTAACAGATTCTTGTGTTATTATGCTGCTTGGTATTTTGAACTTGAGTGCAGTAATACATTTTTGCTATTGAGTCATTTCTCTGAGACAGAGTCTCACTCTGTCACCCAGGCTGGAGTGCAGTGGTGTGATTTCGGCTCACTGCAGCCTCTACCTCTCAGGTTCAAGCAATTCTCCTGCCTCAGCCTCCTGAGTAGCTGCAATTACAGACACACACCATCATACCTGGCTAATTTTTGTATTTTTAGTACAGACAGGGTATTGCCACATTGGCCAGGCTGTCTTGAACCCCTGACCTCGAGTGATCCACCCACCTTGGCCTCCCACAGTACTAGGATTACCGTGAGCCACTGGATCATAAGTTTCTTGATGAGCAAAAGTGGCCTTCTCTGTCATCATCCCTGACACTTACAATTGGCACAAGGTTGTTGTTCAATCAATATTTTTTGAATAAGAAAATAAATAAAGGCTGGGCACAGTGGCTCATGCCTGTAATCCCAGCACTTTGGGAGGCCAAGGTGGGTGGATCACCTGAGGTCGGGAGTTCGAGACCAGCCTGACCAACATGGAGAAACCCTGGCTCTACTAAAAATACAAAAAAAATTAACTGGGCTTGGTGCTGTATGCTTGTAATCCCAGCAACTTGGGAAGCTGAGGCAGGAGAAGCACTTGAACCCAGGAGGCAAAGGTTGCAGTGAGTCGAGATCACACCATTGCACTCCAGCCTGGGCAACAAGAGCAAAACTTCGTCTCAAAAAATAATAACAACAAATTAAAATGGCAGCTGATCCAGTAGACTGTATGTAGTGTACCAGCTATGGCGAAGGTATGATGATGCAGATGATACAAATAGCAGCCAGGACTGTACAGGCTGTTTCTCTTGCTTTGCTTTATTTCTTCACAAGGGGCTAGCAAAGCCACTATTACTGCTGAGTAACCTCGTGTTCTGGGCAGTGAAAGAATGTGCCAAAGACTATACAGCCAGGAAGGGGTAGGGTGGGGATTAGTCCCAGGCCAGTACGGTCCTAGATTCTGTGCTCTTCTCATTTAACTAGGAAGGCTTGGTCTCTGTCACTCTATAAAATGACAGTGCTCGATCAGATGCCTTGCAGGTGGGGAGAAAAAGAAGAGAGCTCTGACCATCAGGAGTGTTGGGTCCTTCTAAGGAGCAACAGCATCTATTCAGTTGTCTCCTGTCCACTCAGACATCCCAATGATTTAATGGAAATTGGCCTCAGCCCTACATTGCCAAATTGCAGAAGGATTCAGATGACTGGAGGAGGAGATGGAAAAAGTGAGACATGGCTTCCAAACCTCCTTCTTTATGCTATGGAATTCAAAATATTATCATATATATATAATATATATATTTAAATATATATATAAATATATATATTATTTTTATCACTTCCCTCAGAAGAGGCTGCATGCCATTTCTGTTTCTCTCCCAGTTGCTCGAAGCTGTAAATGAAAATCAAGCCGTATCTGCCTATTCTTGAGACAATGAAGATGTCTTAAACCTGGGCTCCCAGTGGCACTTTCATTCTAAAGCCATCGCCCATTTCTTCGCTATGCTTTGTGGTCTTTAGAGTCATTGATCCATTACTTCAACAAGTATTTATTGAGTCCCAGACTACGTGCCAGGCATTGTCTTAATCACCGGGTGTAGCAGCGTTCCTCCACCCAGCTTACTTTCTAGAAAGAGAAGGGAGTAAGTAAACCAAGTAACAAATAAGTAGAGGAGATGGTTTTAGAGAGCAACGGTTGATTTGAACACAAAGCAGTCATGCAATAGAAGGTGACTTGGGTAGGACAGTTTTTACACTCTGCAAAAGGAAAGATTCCTCTTAGTTGAGGACACTTGAACTGCGATCTGATTAATCAGACAGAGCCTTTGGAAAGGGGAACAGGGCGAGGAGTGAAAAGCCTCTAGCAGTTGTTGGGATTCCTGCCACCAACAGCCAGAGAGACATGGCCTCCAGCCTCAGATCCACTCATTACTGGAAGGTTGTTTTTTTTTTTGCTTTTTTATTTGAGACAGAGTCTCACTCTATCCCGTAGGCTGGAGTACAGTGGCATAATCTCAGGTCACTGCAACTTCCACCTCAGGTTTCATGCCTCAGCCTCCCGAATAGCTGAGATTACAGGTGCCTACCATCACAACTGGCTAATTTTTGCATTTTTAGTAGAGACAGGGTTTCACCCTGTTGGCCAGGCTGGTCTCAAACATTGGACCTCAGGTGATCCACCCGCATTGACCTCCCAAAGCGCTGGGATTATAGGTATGAGCCACCATACCTGGCCTGGGAGAGGTTTTTTTTATTCTGTTTTTGAGACAAGGTTTCCACTCCTGTTGCCCAGGCTGGGGTGCAGTGGGGTGATCACAGCTCACTGCAGCCTCGACCAACCAGGCTCAAGCGAGCCTCCCACCTCAGCCTCCTGAGTAGCTGGGACTACAGGTGCACACCACCATGCCCAGCTAATTTTTTTATTTTTTGTAGAGATGAGATTTCACCATGTTGCCCAGGCTGGTCTCGAACTCCTGGACTCAAGCAATCTGCCTGCCTCAGCCTCCCAAAGTCCTGGGATTGCAGGCTGGAGCCACCAAGGCTTGAGCCTGGCCTTTACTGGGACTTTCTACACATCTTCACAAGACTCAAATGTGGTTCCTAATACATAAATATGATCATCGGACTCGTGGATGAACCCTGCAGCATCCCTCGTTGCCTTTAGGCAAAGTCCAAGTGCTCACTGTAGACCCTCATAGGCTGCCTTGAACCTCTCCAATGTCACCTGGCTGCATGTCTTCTTGGACCTGTGTGAATGAAGGATATGACAATGGGAGAAGGGCTGTGCTGGGGAAGGAGGGGCCATCCGCACTCCCTGCTCCCCTGGGATACGGTGAGCAAGCTCCCCGTGAGTCAAATGAACAGCACAGGGGGAGGTCAGGCTGGAGTTACCTGCCTGGTGCCCAGCAGAGGTAGCTACACAAGAGGACTCACACTGTAAGACGCTGTGAAGGACGCTGCAGGTGCAGGGGAGGAAGGGGCACGGGGGGTTCCCACCAAGCTGGGAGAGGTGAGGAGCTCCATGAGAGAGGAACCACGCGGAAGCCCGAAACACAGTGAAGCTTTTGTGGCAAAGGTGGAGCCACTGCCCCTCTCCTTTCCCTTTATCCTCACCCCAACCCTCCTCCAGAGAAAGAGAGAGGAAGTAAGAAAAGACCCCAGCCAGGTCCCTCAGGACAATGGCTTAGCATGGGCTATGACAAGAGGGCAGAGAACTTCGCGGTGATGTGGGACTGTACTTTTCTACTAAAACTGACTGGGCTGGGCTCTGTTCCACCTGAAAGTGGACGGAAAGTTGTGGGATGGGGTCAAGGCACAGGACAGGAGGTTTTGACCAAAGTGTGGGTGGTCTCAGTGCCCATGGAAACATGAAAGATTTTCGTTGTATGCACCCCTGAGTTTCAGTTGAAGTGTGGTTACTTTAGACCTAATACCACTAATCCCCCACGGATCAGAGCGGCAGGCCTAACTCGCAAATAAGAAAAACGTTCCCTCCCTATGGCGAGTTGCCTCAAGGTCTGTAGCAGTCCTCATATGAGCGGATGTATCCAGGAATTAAGTTACGAGTTATTGAGCATCAACCCCACAGCAGGTACGGAGCCAGGACATGCCACATGGGATCCTCGCCATAGCCTGATGTGCTGCGTTACTGTCCCTTTCAGGACTGACACCCTGAGGCCAGGCCATTGCTCCAGGTCACGTGGCTATTGAATGAAAGAGGCTGGATTCACATTCTGAGCCACGCAAGCCCGGGATCACCAGGGACTTCCTGCAGGAAACATAACCACGGAAAGGGACCATTCAGGGCAGACTGAGGGCCTTCAATGCCGTGGTTTGAGTTCTAAGCTTGGGGTAACATGTAGCAAAATGCTCATACATGTTAACTCATATGTTGCATCCCATAAAGTTCTAACAGGCTTTAAGTGGAGTTGGAGAGAAGAGTGGGCACCTTGGCCTGGTGGGCAGAAGAGAGACAGGGCATGTGGAGGCCATGTCACCTGTCCCTGCTTGTCTCTGACACCCGTGATTGTTTCCTACCTGGGCCCACAGTTGCTTTTGTCTTCCAAGCCTCCCTCCTTCAGAGAGCAGAGCCAGCCTTTTGCTTTCAGTAAAAACTTCCCTCCTGGGCACCCCGTTTTTCCAGCTAGGAGGTGTCAGGGGACCAGATTGAGCTGGCTTGGACTCCACATTCCCCTGAAGGCTGGAATTTGACAAGAGCCAAGCACGTAATCCTGGGGCCTTCTGCTAGAGTTTCTAGGTAAAGACGCATACGTCTGCTGGAGCTGCTGGGTTTGGGGGAGCCAATGGCCATGTGCCAACATGTGGGGTATCCTGATGCACACTGCACCGAGAGCACGATAAGACACATCCCTGGAGCTCCTGCACCCAGCTTTGTCCAAAGTCTAGAGGTACCCAGGGCTACTGTGCTGCATGAGACAAATATTTCCCTACCCCCGCTTAAGCTTAAGCTAATTTGAGCTGGAGTTCTTCCACTTCAAAACCACACAGAGGCGCTTGATGCTCTTAGCAGGGCCCAGGGAACACTGCCACCTCATGCCAGAGCTCGCACAGGAGTCCCTGCTTCCTGAACTGCTTCCTGGGCTCTACGTCTTCTCTCCTCTTCTCCTTCTTTCATCCTTGATTGACAGCTCAGTTTAGATATGCTTTTCCAGAGCTGCCCTATTCAACCTCCCTCTCCAATGGCCAACTTCCAAAAGCCATCCAGAGACCCCCCCACACACCCTTACCCCCCAGTTCCTGCATCCTCCCTGGATCTATGGGGTTGCAGAGGCGGCACAGACCAGAGGACACCCTTGGGAGGACAGGAATGCCCTTTTCTTTTTTTTTTTTTTAAGGTCAGGGGAAAGCGCGAACGCAGTCCCCACTACCACAGATTATGCAGTCGAGTTTCCCACATTTGGGGAAATTGCCGGGGTCAGCACATCTGAAGTGCAATGGATAAGCCTGGCCCTGGAAAAACCACCTTTGTGATCATGGTATCTCCCCTGCCAGGTAAGTATATGGGAACACCCTCTTCAGCCCCCCTCTACCTGCCTCGCCTATCAGCACAAGCAAACTTTAACCCCGCTACTGTTTCATTCATTTCTCCAAACATGGCAGAGCTGTACTAACTCCATTTTTATTTCTTTCATGTTTTCAGTATTGAATTCTTCCCAATTTTTTTCTCTCCCCATGCCAACTCCCAATGAGTCCACTGTCTCAGTTCATTTCACAAGAGATTGTCTCAGATTACAGAGTCTTGAGGACACAGAAAGATATTTCTGTTTAATTTATTTTGAGCAGTGTCTGGTCTGGTGAAGCAATATGTATAAATAGTGCTTCAGCATCCACACTGATTTTGGAGGTGCCATCCCACCAGGCTCCCCTTTTCCTGGAAGGAATACTAAGAAGCCACATGCAGCACCTCCCCTTTGAGAAGTGAGACGGCACAGCGGGAGGGCCGTGGACCATGAGGCCACACAGACTTCAGCTGGTTTTTGTCTCCACCACTCTCCAGCCATGCGACCTCAGCTAGTATCTCTCTAAGCCTCAGTTGCCTCATCTGAAGCAACCACTTTATCAGTTGCTGAGTCCCTAGTCAATGCCAGCATTAAAAATACATATCAATAGATGGATGGATGGATGGACAGATAGATTAGATACGAGACAAACTGATTCAAGAAAACTGTCATTACCAGAGAGTCTTTTTCAGTGCTTCCTTTACACTGACAGTACTTTTTGCACCAGCATATAAATACCACTCTGAAAACTCTGTGGAGGGAGTGATCTCCATCAGCCCATGCCTGAATCCCCTGGAGGGACCCCTTATGCACTCATTGAAACCTGAATATCTCCCGTGACTGGAAACTCACTATTCTGCAAGACAAGCAGTGCATCTCAGAATTCTAAAGTGTTGGGACCTCTGAGATGCTGGTGGTCTTAGCTGAAGGCAAGGCCAGTGGCTGAACTCAGACCGGGCCCTGGGTCCCCTTTCCCAGTTTAGAGCTCTGTTTCATACCAGGAAACTTCAGGCAATGAAGCTGTTTGGAACTCTTGTTATTATTATTATTATTATTATTATTAATTATACTTTTAGTTCTCTGGTACATGTATAGAACATTCAGGTTTGTTACACGGGTATGCATGTGCCATGGCGGTTTGCTGCACCCATCCCCTCGACATCTACATTAGGTATTTCTCCTAATGCTACCCCTCCCTAATTCCCCCACCCTCTGCTATCCCTCCCCAACCCCCACCCCCTGCTATCCTCCCCAGCTCCCCCACCCCTCAGCAAGCCCTAGTGTATAGTGTTCCCCTCCCTGTGTCCGTGTGTTCTCATTGTTCAACACCCACTTCCTTAAGAGACCCTGTAGTCCCTAAGCCAAGCTCCAATTCTACTCCTGAGGGACACACTCCACACAACCTCTGAGAACAGTTTCCCTTCTGAGAGTGAGACCTCTCCCCCTGTGCCAGATTCGAAATCCCCCTTTACTAAACTCTGTGAACTTACATAGGCTCTTACTCACCCTCAACATCCACGTTATTGGACAAGACAGGTTCGTTCATGGTCTGTCCCAGCTTAAAGCCTCCTCTTGGCTCCTCAAGGCCTTTCTCAACCTGATCCCTCACCTCACATTTCACCTCATGAACCTTATTCTCCAACCTCAAACACCTGCATTTTCTTTTCCTAACTCCTGACATTGTCTGTGTTGCTACCTCAGAGAGAAATGTCTTTTTCTTGCCAGACAGACTCCTATTCATCCTTCAAAACCCAGTTTAAATGCCTTCTCCTCAGTGAAGACTTCCTTGATTTCCCAGGCAGGGGGTGTTCTACTATATTCTCTAGGCTCCCATAGACTCAAGGTTTTTAGCCCTCTACAAGAAATATCAAAAATTACCTACATATGATTCTGTCTTCTCAACTGAGCTGCTTCACCCTAAATATTAAAAGGCTCGTCTCTCTCCCTCTGCCTGGAACAGTCATGGGCGCAGAGCAGTATCATGCATCAGTGTAACGGAGAGAAACAAGTACTTGGTTGAAGCATCTAAACTGGGAACTTAATGGCATATTTAACTTAGCAAGAGGGGGCTCTTTTTTGTATTTCTTCATTGAAACTGTTACTTCCTGAGAAGATAGAAAGCATGTGGATTGACACAAAACTGACTTTTTCTTTTTCCTTTTTTTTTTTTTTTTTTTTTTTTTTTTTTTTTTTTCGAGACAGGGTTTTGCTCTGTTGCCCAGGCTGGAGTACAGTGGTGTGATCTCAGCTCAATGCAACCTCCACCTCTCAGACTCAAGCAATGCTCCTTCCTCAGCCTCCCAAGCAGCTGGTATTACAGGCACCCACCACCATACCCAGCTAGTTTTTGTATTTTCAGTAGAGACAGGGTTTCACCATGTTGGCCAGGCAGGCCTCGAACTCCTGACCTCAAGTGATCACTCCACTTTGGTCTCCCGAAGTGCCAGGACTACAGGCATGAGCCACTGTGCCCAGCCAAGACTGACTTTCTTTCTTTCACCAACGACATTTCTTTTCTTCCAAGAAATTGCCTAGATGCCCCCAGGACCCTGCCACGCTGTGGACGAGAGCAGCCAGAGGTGAGGCCTGTATCAAAGAGGGGCCAGGAATGGAGGCTTTGTGGATGTTCTCTTCCCAGGGAATTGACTCACAAATGTGCCCAATACGGAGGAACCAAAAGGTATTTCTCAGACATCACAGGGTGGGGTTCTCCAGCCAGCCATTTCCCAGGGGAGCCCGGGGCTTTGGCTCCACTGTGGTAGGGCTTCAGGAACAAAGCTGAAAAGGGCTTCCAGGATTGCTCCGCTCCGAGGGGAGCCTGTGAGAGGGAGCTCTGCTCATTACCCTTGTGCTGTGCACTGTCTAGCAAATTCAGGCTTTTAAATAATGTGAGCATTTATTGGTGGGAGAATTCAGCAGGAAGGGTACAAGAAAAGCCTCTTGAAAGGTTCTGTCTGAGCAAAGAACCACTGCAATCCCACCCTTTTTCCTCTTGATCTGAAAAACCATTCAGGAATGGCCGATCAAACTTGTTGATGCAAATTAATCCACGAACTCTCACTCATTCATACATTATCCAATCATGTATTTATTTCTCATTCATTCTTTCATTAGTCTGCTCACTTGTCCACTGTCTTAGCCCGCTTTCTTAAGACAGAAGCACTGAAACTGATTCTTTTTTAATAATGCCGCAGACTGGGTAACTTACTAAAGGAAGAGATGCATTTCCCTCACAGTTCTGCAGGCTGGGATATTCCAGTGCATGCTGCAGTCATCCAGCGAGGGTAATCCCACAGCGGAAGGCAGAAGGCAAAAGCAAGCGTGTAACACGGAGAGGACCCAGAGGCCATATTTGCTTTAGAGAGCAACCTGCTCTCACAAAAACTGGCCTGTGCCTATAACAGCAACAGCCGTCCTTCCGTGAGGCGTCCGTCTGCCCTCCCAACCCAATCACCTCTTATTAGGCCACATCTCCTAACACTGCTGCACTGGGGATGAAGTTTCCAACACATGAACTTTGGGGAGACACAGTCAAATCATAACACCTGTCCATCCACACAGACCTTTATTTCGGCTCTCTTCCTCTCCCCTCCCCCAGACAAACGCTCATTCATGACACAAACGATGGGGACCACAGTGCCACTTCTCAATGGGTCCACAGCAAGCATTAAACCAGGCAAAACAAAATACGACGGATGAACCTCGAAATCATTTATGCAGAACCTCCTGAGAGCCAGATACTGTGCTAGATACCCATGTTTTTAAGTATTTGTTGGCTACAGTTCCCACACTGTTCAAATGCTGGATTTTGATTGATGCAGCTGTTTGGATACATATAGGTTGTGAAAGAATAGCCAGAATGGTACTATTGGTTAGGTTGGGGGATAAGAACTCAGGAGAGTTGCGGATACTGTTGTACTTGTAAAAAACATGCTTTTATTATCTTTTCTTTTCTTTTTTTTTTTTTTTTTTTTTTTGAGATGGAGTTTTGCTCTTGTTGCCCAGGCTGGAATGCAATGGTGCAATCTCAGCTCACCTCAACCTCTGCCTCCCAGGTTCAAGCAATTCTCCTTCCTCGGCCTCCCAAGTAGCTGGGATTACAGGCACGCACCACCAGGCCCAGCTAATTTTATGCTTTTAGTAGAGACGGGTTTCTCCATGTTGGTCAGGCTGATCTCGAACTCCTACCTCAGGTGATCTGCCTGCCTCCGCCTCCCAAAGTGCTGGGATTACAGGCATGAGCCACCGCATGCAGCCTTTTTATTACTTTTTACGTTTAAAACATTCTAGCTAGGAATAACAAAGAAAAAATTGTACAAATAATACATTTGCTTTCTCTATGAATGTATATTTATTCACTTATGGCAGCCTGAAATTTTTGTTAAGAGCATGGGCTTTGCACCAAGACACAGGTTTAAAGCCCAGTTCTGCCATTTACTAGCAAAGGAACCAAATGTCCCTAAGTCTCCATTTGTCCATCCCTAAAGGGAGTAACAGCGTAGTTAATTCACAGGAGGAAAGATGTGATAATACCTAACATATCACCTGGCACCAATTGGCACTTAATCTCACATGGGATCAGGGGGCGTATTATTTTTGCTTTTACAGAACTCAAAATCTGTCATAGGAAAAAAAGATCTAATTTATTCTAAGTACCCCCCCAAAAATGGAATAAGTTCAAACAGATGGCCGCAGAGAGAGTGCTTTCATTTGAATAAGAGGAAGAATCTTAAACCAGATATCCAACAATACACTGGAGGTCGCCTTAGGAGATAACAATCCCTCTGCCCCTGATGATGGGCAAGAAGATGATGGGCAAGGATCTGGGAGAAAAGTGATAGGATCCAGTCAACAGATGAGGAAACTGGACAAGCTGCGTATGATGGGCGTCCTGCAGCCTGCAGTGGCAAAGGGCCTAATGTAGTCATGATTATTTGGCAAAGCTGTATGTGATCACCCTTAAGGTATAACCACAATGAAGCTTGTGGCTCTGTTTTATT